CAACATAACAAAATTGAAAAAAGTGAAGGGTGTCTGAATACTTTCTGAATGCACTGTATCTCTGAAATGATGACCCGACAGGTCATGGGTTGCCTAGAAAAAACTGAAAAAAGAGTTGGTACCTGTGAAAGCAAAGACACCCGAGATAATCTTCCAGTCTATTATTGGAAGTAAAGAGAGAGCTTGGGTGCTTATGGATCAGAATACCCAACATTCAATGGCTTGCTCTTAAAATTCTTCTTTCTTACGAGAGCAATGTGCTGGACGCAAAAAGAACCTTCAGCTGAAAGTATCTGTGTTCCAAAGCAACCCACAAGGTCATGAGAGTGGCTCTCGGCCAGTATGTTCTTTTCCTGAATTACTGGTTGACTTGTGCCCTGGAAAGTGTAAGAAAAACTTAAGCATCAGTTTAGAAGGCAGCTGCACGCTTCTTTGAAAATACTGCAAGGTAACTTGGAGTACTCCCATGTGCACAACACCATACAGACAAGTTGATATGACTTCTTTTTAATAACATGTCTTTACTCTGTTTCTTTCTCTAGCATTACTACATATTTTATGACCTATTATAACTAGTCAATTCCCTATAAAGGGTATCCAAGTCAGCCTACAGAAAAGGATGAAATAATAAAATGAATTAAGAAACAAAAATAGCTAAAAGCAATAAAAACTAATAGAATTCACATTGTATTAAATAATTTTATTTAATAAAGCGGGTGACATACAGACAATACTTTTTAAAAAGTTTCACCTTATTTGGTTAGGGTACTGTATACAATTTGCTTCAGTGATCTGTCAATAGAAATTGTCTGTTCATACCCCTAATTGAAATGGTTAAAAATACTGTAAGCCTCTCTTTTTTTGGAATTGAGAACAAGGATCTGATTTTAGCCCCCTTATATTCCTTTCCTGCTGGACAAGATGAACTTTTCATGTTTTGGAAAAGGCTCCGCATACCAGGCTTGTACCGATTGCTTGTATGTATTGCTTGTAAGTCAACGATGTGATTATAGATGCATATACTTTATTTCTCAATAAAAAATTTGCTTTGTGCTCGCCTGGCTTTCTCAAGACCTTCAAAAGTGATGGGTCCTTTTGGCATTTCTAGCACAGCATTTTCT